CCCACGAGAAGTTGAAATTGATTGATTGAACCTTTTTTTTTTAACACATGGTGGCAGAGGCCTAAAGCGAAAAGGTTTTATAAAAGCCAGCTGAAGGCCTAGGATTGGGGCAACAGCGTGTGTGCCCACAGAGAGGGCTCTGAGTGCCACCTCTGGCACCCGTGCCATAGGTTTGCCATCACTGTAATAGGCAATGCCAACCCAAACAAATATATGAAGGTGAAGTATAATAAATTATTTTCCTGGGTAAAGAAATTCATGACTGAAGCTATAAAATAGAGGTATGGTACTTGTTACATCTTAGTGGTAATATATAGATATGAAAATAGGGCCCTAAGAATGGCTGAACAAAGAAAAATTGATGCCTTTGAATTTCAATGTTGGGAGAAAATTGATGTGTACACCATGAACCATAAGAAAAGGAGCGGTGGCAGAGGCACAATGAGCTTTGTTGGCTCCTGCTGCAACTGGCAGCAGCGGCGTGATTGGTGCGATGAGCCATGGGGCCTCTTGTTGCTAGCATCAGCGATGGCACAATGAGCCACAAAGCCTCCTGCTGCAAATGGCAGCAGCAGTGCAATGCACCACATGGCGTGCAGCCGCAAGCGGCCACAGAAGAACTCAGGCAGCAACAAGATAGGTATCGGGACGTGGGAGGCCTGGCTGCAACAGTCCTAAGGTAAGTGGGTGTGGGGCACGTGGGCAGCTCCACCCCTGCCCTAGCTTGATTTTTACATGTGTGCCTCACCCCAAAACTAGGAATTTATAAAAATTCAAAGCAGTTTCTCACAGAAAGTCCTAGAGCAGTGGTTCTCAACCTTCCTAATGCCGCGACCCTTTAATACAGTTCCTCATGTTGTGGTGACCCCCAACCATAAAATTATTTTCGTTGCTACTTCATAACTGTAATTTTGCTACTGTTATGAATAGTAATGTAAATATCTGATATGCAGGGTATATTTTCATTGTTACGAATTGAACATAATTAAAGCATAGTGATTAATCACAAAAACAATATAGCAATGCTTGCTGGAGAAGCTTACTCTTCCTTGCTCAAAAATGTTGGGAGGGAGGGAAGGGGAAGGAAGATTGAAGGGGAAAGGAAGGAGATGGAGAAGGAAGGAGATTGAAGGGGAAAGGAAGGAAGGAGAAAGAGATTGAAGTGGAAGGGATGGAGAAGGAAGGAGATTGAAGGGGAAAGGAAGGAAGGAAGATTGAAGGGGAAAGGAAGGAGATGGAGATTGAGGGGGAAAGGAAGGAAGAAAGGAAGGATTGATCTTTGGAGAGTCATGTTTTTCCAGATGGTGATGAACTGCAACTCCCAGCATTCCCCACTCTTCCACAGTGCTTTTTAGGGCTGCTGGGGATGGTAATCCAATAAGGTCTGGAGACACACACAGATGCCCTCCGATGGCGAGGGCGGCGGGCTGGGTGGAGCGGGGGAGGGTCCGGCATGGCGCGGAGGGCGGCCGGGCAACCAGGAGGCATGGGGACCGGCTCAGCGCCGCAGCTCAGCTCAGCCAGCAGCAGCAGCGCGTTGCTAGAGCAGGGTGGGAAGAGAGGGGGCAGTGGTGGCAAGTCATGAAAGCAGCGTCCACACGTTCAGGGTGCAAATGCCTTGGATGGTTTGGCTCCCCCACCCCTTTATTTACTGAACTGCCACAAGCTCGTGCAAACAAGCCCCGAGGAGTTCTAAAAGAGTGGTCGTTAAAAAAAAAAGCTTTAAGCAACGAGGCAGAAAGAGGAACTCGCTCACGGCTCTTTTTTTCCCCTTTCTCGGCAACCAGGAAGGCAGCAGCCAGAGACGCCGCTGCACAAAGGGAGGCGGAGAGAGGGGCGAGGGGGAAAATCTCAGTCAACTTTCGCCCTTATCAGACCCGGTTCCCTTCTGGTCGACACCCACCCACCCACCCCCTTCACCTCCCGCTACAGATTGACGCTACTCCTCAGGAGTATTTCGCCAGGCTTTTTTTTTTTTTTTAACCTTGGCCCTGCGCTTCTCCTAGACAGAAGCCAGGCAAGAGGACCTGAAAAATGCCAAGTAGGAGGTTCATAGCCGTGGCAATGCAGCAGTAGCTGCTCTGCGATGGGTAGCGCAGCCCCGCCACGCTGCTGAGGCGGCTGCTTTCCTGTCTGCCCGAGCTGGCTGGCGGAGCTAGCCTTGAGCAGAAATTCTCACTAGTGTCTCGGTTCTAAGACCATCGGAAATATGTGTTTTCCGATGGTCTCAGGCGACCCCTGTGAAAGCATCGTTCGACCCCCAAAAGGGTTGCGACCCACAGGTTGAGAACCGTTGTCCTAGAGAAATTAAGACTTTTAGGTCTCACAAGTTGGGTCTGAATGTTTTTAATTTACACAGTTAATATTGTTATGTGACCCTGAAGCAAAGTAACTCACACACTTACCTTTACAAGACTAACATGCAAAATGGAGCAGGTTCATATATAAAACTTACCTAACTATCTTAACTTCACAGCAATAATCAAAAAACAACAAGCAACTATAAGATAAGAAAGATAAAAAGGACAAGTATAGAAAGTGGAAAGAGGGATACATAACTAAGTCAGAATATCAGCAAATAGCCCGAGCCTGCAAAGACAAAGTGAGGAAAGCTAAGGCTCAAAATGAACTAAGGCTTGCAACCAAAGTCAAAAATAACAAAAAAAGTTTCTTTCAACATGTAAAACACAAGAAAAAAGTGAAGGAAACGATTGGTCCATTAGTGGGTGAAAGTGGCAAGAAGGTGACAAGTAACAGGGAGAAAGCAGAACTATTTAACTCGTTTTTCGCATCTGTCTTTACACAAAGGGAAAAAACAGACCAACCTATCAAAAATAGTGCCATAAAAAACAAAATAGAAATACAAGTTAAGATAGGCAAGAAAATGGTAAGTGAACACTTGTCCAGCCTAGACGAGTTCAAATCACCAGGACCAGATGGATTACACCCCAAGGTTCTTAAGGAACTGGCAGGAGTGATCTTAGAACCACTGAACTATATTTTTCAGAGATCCTGGAGCATCAGGGAACTACCAGAGGACTGGAAAAGAGCTGAAGTAGTTCCCATCTTCAAAAAAAGGGGAACCCCCCCCCCAGGAAATTACAGACTATCAGCCTGACCTCAATACCTGGGAAGATTTTGGAAAAGATAATCAAACAACGAATAAGCGAACACCTACAGGCAAACAATAGATCATGCCAGACAAATCTTATTGCATTCTTTGACCAAGTGACAAAATTAGTGGACCAGAGGAATGCTGTGGATATAATTTACTTGGACTTCAGTAAGGAATTTGACAAGTAGACCACAACCTACTACTTGAGAAGATAGAAAAATGACGTTAGAAAGCATCAGACTTGAACAGATTTGAACACTGGGCGCTATCTAACAAAATGAAATTCAATGGTGAAAAAAGTAAGGTTCTACATTTAGGCAAGAAAAACCAAATGTACAGGTATAGTATAGGGGGTACCTTGCTCAATAGTAGTAACTGTGAGAGGGATCTCAGAGTGCTAGTGGACAATCATTTAAATATGAGCCAGCAGTGTGCTGCAGCTGCCAAAAAAGCCAACACAGTGCTAGGCTGCATTAACAGAGGGATAGAATTAAGATCACGTGAAGTATTAATACCACTTTACAATGCCTTGGTAAGGCCACACTTGGAATACTGCATCCAGTTTTGGTCACTACGATGTAAAAAAGATGTTGAGACTCTAGAAAGAGTACAGAGAAGAGCAACAAAGATGATTAGGGGACTGGAGGTTAAAACATATAAGGAACGGTTGCTGAAATTGGGTATGTCTAGTTTAACAAAGAGAAGGACGAGGGGAGATATGATAGCAGTGTTCCAATATCTCAGGGGCTGCCACAAAGAAGAGGGATTCAAGCTATTTTCCAAAGCGCCTGAAGGCAGGACAAGGAGCAACAGGTGGAAACTAACCAAAGAGAGAAGCAACCTAGAACTAAGGAGAAACTTCCTGACACTTAGAACAATTAACCAGTGGAAGAACCTGCCTCCAGAAGCTATGAATATTCCAACACTGGAAGATTTTAAGAAAAGACTGGATAACCATTTGTCTGAAATGAGCAGGGGGTTGGACTAGATGATTTCCAAGGTCCCTTCCAACTTTTTTTATTATTACTATTACTATCTGGACATGTTCAGTGTTTATTTCTTCTCAATACTCACATCTTTCAATCTGGCCTAGCCATCAGCAATAAAGACTAGTCCTCACACCTGCGCTGGCTAGGTTGGAAAGATTTGGAGGAAAAAATGTCCAATCATATTTATTTTATTTATTTGATTTCCAATCACATGTTGCAAAACAACTTAAATACAATGCCTCAGGCACTCAGTGTGAGAGGTCTTGAAAAAGAAACATTTTGTTTCATGCTGGAAATAAAAACGTTCTTTTGTTTTAACTTAAAAACAATGACAGCATTACAAATTCTAGTGACCGTGCTGTTTCAAAATGCAAGTTCATTTCATAATCGAATGTTCAATTTCATTATGGTTCTTTCTCCTGCTAGAAACAAGTCTCTTTTGGGCAGTTGATAACTTTAATCTATTCATTGGTTCTGGTAACAACCTGATCTAGTATCAGGTTATTTTTGAATTCATATGAACTAATATTCACATTTTCAGATTCAGAAAATTTCAAATCTCTGATGTAAAATTAGAATAATTTGAAATTAGAATGTTTTGCATTTCTCTCTAAGGAAATATGCTGGAAAAATGTAATCTGTTTTTATAAAAAAACTACTTACCTAGCATTATGTGAATAATTAAAATAAAAACTTTCTAAAAATATTTATTGCAATATTTATTTGATTTGTATCCTGCCTTATTCCCAATGACTATGATTCTCTTTGAAATGTTGCCACAAAGTTTTCAGAATATAAATGAGTAAATAAAAAATCAATTTCTAAATTCAAAATACAAAAATATATGACACAGCACAGATAGCAAAATAATAAGCAGAATGCTAATGGTTTCATACCGGTTGCAGTCCCACTGTCACATGGCAGTAGCACTCCTGTTACTGGTTGTGCGTTGTTTGGATTTGCTCCAGGTGCTGGAGAGGAAGTAGGCCCTACTCCACTCCCAAGGAGCATACAAGATGGCGGAGGGGGCTGCCCACGTTTCAATAACACTTTGTGGTCCTGCTGGCAACGAAATCGCGGCGGCACCTCCCGAGGCATGTAGCGGGCAGCGCTTGGTGGTTGACCATTCGGCACTGCCACCCTTTTGGCATTATTGCCACCATTTATAGGTGGCGATGGAGAGCTGCCAATTGGGCTGGCGGCCACTGGTTGGCTTAAACTTGTTTTTGTCGCTTCGGGCACTATAATGAAAAAAATATTGGGTGGAATTTAGTATTGTTTGCAAATTTAACGGTCTCATAAAATCACGATAAATAAGATCTATTGAAATATTTCTAACTTTAAGCATGAAGAAAATTAAGAATCACTATGACATGAATTCACAAAGAAAAAAAAAATCAAAATTGGAGAACTTTGCCAAGAATCCATTAAAAGCTTTTCAGTCCACAAGCTATAGTTATCAAGATGGTATTCTCCACCAGAGGGGAAAAAAGGTAAATGTTTCCCCTGTTCAGTCTGACTTTAGGGGGCAGTACCCAGCTCAGTTTTTTAGCCAAGAGAACCAGCATTGTCTGAAGAGGCTTCCGTGGTCACATGGCCAAAATGACTATACACAGAATGCTATTACCTTCCCACCAAAGTGGTACCTATTTATCTAGTTGTATTAGCATGCTTTTGAACTGTTAGGTTGGCAGAAGCTGGAGCAAGAATGGGAGCTCACCCTATCACACATATTTGGGTCTCAAACTTCCAACCTTCTGGTCAAGTATTAGAATATTAATTCAAAGTATCCCATTATTGGAGAAAATTCGAAGAAAAAAAAAACAAATTTAGGAATATCACCTTGAGCATTCAGCATCAATAAATAAGTTTTTGTGCTAAAGTTAACTAAGATAAAAGTTAGCAGATTGCATGTTAGTATATACGATGTTTCCACAAAAATAAGCCCCACCCTGAAAAAAAGATCTACCCTGATTTTTGGGGATGGGCCTAATATAAGACCTACTCCAAAAATAAGCCCTAATTAGGACCCCGCCCACTTTGTCCCACCTTGCTGCTGCAATGGGGCCAGAGGCCATGCTGTGCATTGCGCCACTGTGGCACAACGAGGTGAGGCAGGTGGGGGAGGGGATGGAGCTTTCAACTTCTCGCAAAAAAAAAAAAATCCTGTGAGAAGTTGGAAGGTCTGACTGAACTTTTTTTAGTCCCACAAAATCAGTTTCTATCAGTTTCTCTACAGCAAGAGAGAAACACACCGGAGCTGGAAAGCAGGTTAGTGAAGAAATTTCGGGAAGAGGGAGAAGCTGAGTGGTGGTACGCCAAGGTCTATAGCAGTGCTGGGAGAAGCGGCAGGAAACGGGGCTGCCATTTCCAGAATGGAGAAGGGAGACGTGGGGCGAAGCAGGGCAGCAAGCAAGTGCTCTTCTCTGCTCTGCATCGCTGCACAGAGACACTCTGTTCCCCGTTCTCTCCAGCGGCGGCGATGGAGGGCTGGTGGAGGCAGCGAGGGAGGCTTATGCCACCTGGTCATGGCGCAAGCTATGGGAGAGTTGGCGGAGAAGTAGGCTGCTGCTGCTGCTGGGCAGGTGATCTGTGGGGCAAAGTGCGAAGAAAGCCTCTCCAGCGGCGCACAGCAGCAGCGGAGCCTTTCACTGTCACTTACCCATGGCTCCCAAATGGTGGAGTGGGACCGGGCCTACCCCGCCTATCCTCCATAGCATGGCAGTCCAGCTCAGGAGGGGAGTGAAAGGGAAGGTCGCCGAGCAAGGAATGGCCTGGCTGGGGGGGCCTGAAGGAAGCGGGTGCAGGGTGTGTGGGGCGGCTCCACCCCTCCTCATCTGCCTCACCTCGTTGTACGGGTAGCGGTGCGATGTGCCGTGTGGCCTCCTGCAGTGAGTGGCCACAGCAGAAATGGGCTGGCAGCCACACGGCCTCCTGCTGGATGGGGCTGTTGGTGCCACTGATGCAAGGCAAGGCAACTGTCAGAAAAAAATATAAGACGCTTCCCCAAAATTAGACCTAATACCTCTTTTGGAGGCAAAAATAATATAAGACCAGGTCTTACTTTCAGGGAAACATGGTATGTGTGCACATATGAATGAGAAGAATGCAAACTAAAATCCAAATGTTAAAGCCTTAGCAGCATAGGAAAATCAAGGAAACAAAATCCATGTGGAACTTCATTAATTGGGTATGGGGACTGGGGATTCCTCAATTAAGGAAAATTTAGGCATTAAAGAATTAGGATACAGAAGCTAAATAAGCAAAATTCCCAAACTGATTTATGAATTAATATGTTAAAGTGGTATCTGTTAATTATTTGAAGCTTTTTCCCCAGAATGCGAAACTGAAAGACTAAATGTCCTTTTCCCAAGTAAGTCTGTCACTGAAACACCCATCCAGAAAAAAAATCTATAAATATGAACAAATTTGTTTTAAAAAATAATGAAAGCAAATAAGCAATGATTACAACTGCTAGTCCATAAGGGAATAAAATAACAGAAAAACTATTTGATTTGTATTGTTTTTCATTTCAGATAGTATTTTAAAAATGTTTATTCTATCAGTATTTGTCAGGACCAGGCACAAAGAATGACATGTGGAGTTATTTCTGAATAATTTCATTTATTGTTCTTCATCTGTAGACAAAAACTTGACAGACTAAAGCAACTGTCTGCATAACTATAGATATACTGTGGGAACTGCTAAGGAGCAATAGTTTTAAACCCTCTTCTTGCAGATCAAATTTTCCAACCTCTGCTGCCTCTTTGCTCTCTGGAAAGCAGCCTTCCCTCCTGAGAAACCAGACTATATTCCACCATTGTATTTAAGTGGGACAAATATACTGCAAACACTATAAGAAATAACTACTTTGTAACCAGAAATATAGCTTTTTAAAAATTTTGTTTTCACATTAGATTGGATTCTGTGAAGTATACATAGAAAAACCTTTTTATTTGTTCAGTATCTTACATCTTGTTCATTTTATGATTTTAAAATAAGTTTAAACATACATTTGACAAATTCAGACTAAAAAGTAGAGACATAACAAATGCATGCTTTTACTTTTTAAAAAAGTTCCCCCATCCTAACACAATCTTAAAAATACATAAATATGAAATAACTTTGACAATCTTTTATCAAAATCTTCAAAGATATCCTATTTAAGTAGACATAGCTTTTAATAAAATGGGAAGATTAGTATTCAGAGAAAATAGGACTGCATAGCTTTAATTACTAGTACAAAACCTGTTCAGAAATAATCTGGTCACAAATGGTCAGATGACATATTATTATTTAGACAAGCCATGAAGAAGCCTCAAAGAATCTCTTCAGTCTCAGTAAAATAGGAAATTAAGTGATAAATGAGTTTAAAGAGCAAATTGATGGACTTTATATGTACAGCTTTTACATGGGATACATTTCTTTTCAGTGTAAGTATGAAGCATTTTAAGTCATACGGGATATGATTATATCTCAGCAGGTAGCAGTTTCTAACCCACTTCTCAGCAAATGAAGCTTGTCTAGAGGCTATCTTTACATTTTTAATAAATTATACTGTAATAAAAGTTACAATAAATACAAATTACATGTTATTAATTAGTTATTTAAAATATTTATTTCTGCTTTAAATGTTTTAAAGTTAAAATTGGATTGTAAGCAGGAGAGCTAAAAATATGTTGGAAAACAAACATATCAAATTCCGATGAAAAGTACCTCTCCAAGCCAGCCAGCAAAGATTCCCAATAAATTAAAGAGCTATTCTTAATTCCCAATAAATCAAAGAGCTAGTAAATCTGAGAAGAAATATCCTAGCAGAGGATCAAAGAACAAATTGGATTTTGCTAAGAAAAAGTGCCAACGTCTATGTTAGATAACAGCACATCTATGTTAGATAACACAAAAGGACCAAAGTTGAACATTTTGGCCATAATTCCAAAAAGTATCTTTGGTTCAAGTTGCTTTTGTGGTTAAATGGGAGACGGAAGTTGTATTAGGTATGTTCATTGCCTTGAGTTATTTATAAAAGTAATAAATGTGGGATATGAATTTTTCTTAAGAAGTAAATGATTTCTCAAAATAGCAAGAAAAGCTATAGCTTTCGAAAAATTAAAGCTTCTTACCTTTGGTTTTTTGATCTGTGACCTATAAGTAAAAATAAAAACAAAAGTCATTTGGTTTTTGTAAGTTATCAAAATTTTAAAAAACTATTATTATTAAATGTGGAATGCTAACATACAGCGGTACCTGCCAATATTAAAATTTCAGTCCGGCAACTTATTATTTCTATCAGTAGATATACTATATATGCATTTTTAAAAAGCTTTCATCTTTTAATAACATGATGTAGCTATTATGATGCTGGGTTAGGACTGGAAAATCCCATATTCAATTCTATCAGCCATAGAAACTTACTGATTGACTCTGGGCCAATCAATCTCAGCTCAAACCACCTCACAGAGGTGTTGTTGTGGTGATAAAATGCATATCAATCCCAAATAAACTGACCTGACCTCCTGAAGAAAAGGCCACATATAAAGCATATAAACACAAAAGTGAACTATCCTATGGAATATGACAATATAGATTAAATTCTGAAGGTATTATTTTTTCCACTGAACTATTTAATTCATCAGGAAGCAGATATAAGATATATTTTTAAGATTAAAGAACTAGTACCAAAAGAAAAATCTGTTCATAAATCATCCATAATCCAATTTCACTTATCCTAAACTTTGTTCATTTTAATAATAGGAAGGGGGAGATATAAATGTAATCTAGTTACTGCTATTGTTAAATATGCAGGCTATATAAATCACTTACAGCAGTGGTTCTCAACCTTTTCTTCACCATAGCCCCTCTTTAAATACCTTTTTTGTGCCACAGATCACCAAGACTTAAGATTTAAATCATAACATTTCTTCAAGCCTTCGCAGACCCCCGTGATGACATCATGATACCCCAGGGCTCCGCAGACCACTGGTTCTAAGTCAAAACCACAGTACAGTATACCCATAGCTACTTTCTCTCTAATCCCAATATAGTATCTTGAATCACAATCCACCTCCTAGTGTGGTACATATCATACCACAAGCCAATTGATCACTTAAGCCAAACACTATTTTTCAACATTTAACTGATAAACCAGAAACATTATACTTCTAACTCCGTTACTGTAGATTTTTAAATTAATACAAAGTGTTGTAAATATTTCACTGCAATAAGCCACCATTTGCAGACACTATTGATCCTTGCTTTTCTCCCAAACTGTAATAAAAAAAGATCAGGATGCACTGTCAGTTCTGATGTCTGCTCCATTCATTTCTGAATTACCACAACTTGCCATGACATCCCGATTGAAAAATTATAATTATAATTAACCTCAAAATTGTGATATGTAGTATGTTTATCAATCATGGTTGGAGATCAATAGTAACTATAATTTACTTAATTTAAATAGTACAATAAAGTAAACCGGAAAAAAAGTTTAAAAGCTGTCAGCCTGACTCAATCCACTGCAGGTTGAAGGCCTCTTCATTTAGATTGTAGACTGTATTCTACCAGTGTGGTTGATAACTTTCTTTTCAACTTTCCTGTCTAGGCCTAAGAGAGTAATTGACTCCAAACCCTGAATCCAATGTTGTGCCTAAAGAACCAGAACCTGGGCCTTGCAACTTTTAACCCACACCTTAACCACTATGCCACACCGGTTCTCCAATATATAGGTTTGAGTGTACATGCATATACAGTACATATGCTATCTCATATGATCAAGCCACTTTTTGTCTCCTATATGAATTACAAAAATAGTTAGGTTCTTTTATTAAATTTTTATTGGTATGATTCTAAACCAAACAAACTTTAAATAAAGCTGAATCAATATAAAATTGGGATATGTATTCTGATTTGAATTCTACTATTTGCTATTCCAAATGCTTACTTTAGAATAAAATATTAAATATTAAATTTGCTTAGTGTAAGTTGAAAGAGTTGATTATATATTTTAAAAATCAAGACAATGAAGTGGGCTCCTTACCCTCAAACAACACATGTCATGTTTTCATCTCAAAATAATGTACTGATTTGTTGCTAATTCTTGACAATGCTGGGTATTTACACAGCAACAAAGTCATAATGTGACCACTGTTTGAACCAGCTTAGCCAAATCCCCAGAATAAGGTACATACAACTAACACTTTCCTTTTTGCTGCCATTCAGTTCAACTAATGGATACAAATCATATAGTTTATAATTTGTTTAACTTTTATTTAGTTAAAGGAGATATGAAAAGCTTGTTAGTATCAGTTGTTAAGAGGCCAAAGAGATCAGGAAAACCAGTATCACACTTTTCCACTTTGCCTTAAGATTAAATATTAAACTCAGCAGCAGCATTTGAAGTACCCGAGACAGTATGGTATGGGATTTCCTGCTTGAGCAGAGGGTGGCACTAGAAGACCTCCACAATGCCTTTCAACTCTTTTATTCTCTTATTCATATTGTCTTTTACTTCATAAAAGGGGCGTTGTCTTACCTGAACGCCTTTTCTCAGGATGATGATGTAGAATCCACCGGTGGGTAATCTCAGCCTTCCTGCTCAGAAGAGACTAAGTCAGAACTTTAGCCACGCCTCCCTCTGGGAGTGTCCTCCAGTTATTGACGAGGCGAAGCATCCATGACGAAGTCTGACACACTGGCTCCAATTAACATGACACTTGCCTAAACTGCCTTAAGGGAGGGTGTGGATTCTACATCATCATGCTGAGAAAAGGCATTCAGGTAAGACAACGCCCCTTCTCCAGCATGATGAATGTAGAATCCACCACTGGGACATACCAAAGCCCCTTCATGTCTCTAGGGGGAGGGAAAGTCTAGGCTTGTGTGTCCTGAGAAGAAACTACTTGCTGCAGAACTCTCCTACCAAACGAGGCATGCGCCGCAGCAAACCTACCAATCTTGTAGTGTTTCACAAAGGAAGAAGGGGAGGACCAGGTCGCTGCCCTACAAATCTCTTCGAATATTGGCCTCTGGGCCAATCCCAGGACTGGCCGGTCTGAAAGGGATGCCTGAGTGGACCAGGCTGCAGACGCAGCTGCACTGCGCGTCAAATGAGCGGTGATATGCATAGGAACTGGAAGTGACTGAGAAAGATAGGCCCGAGCAATGCATGCCCTGATCCAGCTACTAATGGTAGAAGAGGATACCTTCTGACCCATGGCAGAGGGCTGAAAAGACACGAACAAGGCCTCTGATTTACGGAAGGCCGAGATTCGCTTAACGTAATGACGCAGAGCCCTGCGCACGTCTAACTTATGCCATTGTCTCTCCAGACGATGTGACGGATTAGGACAAAAATCTGGAAGAACTAGGTCCTGTGACCTATGAAACCAAGGGTTAACCTTTGGAACAAAGGAAGGGTCCAAACGAAGGACCACCCTATCCAAAAAAAGGGTACCCAAGTCACTCCGAACTGAGAGTGCGGCCAATTCCGAAATCCGTCTGGCCGATGTGATAGCCACCAAGAATGCTACCTTTAAGGAAAGGAAATGAAGTGAATAAGACCCGAGGGGCTCGAACGGCGGAGAAGTCAGGGCTTGTAGCACCCTAGGTAAGTCCTAAGAGGGATAACGATAGACCACAGGTGGCCTGGCATTAACCGCTCCTTTCAGAAAGGCACTTACAGCTGGATGATGTGATAGAGGGACCAGGTTGTCACAGGTAAGGACCGTTTGCAATGCCACAACCTGTCTGCGGATGGTACTAGGTGATAGTCCCTTATTCATACCTTCCAAGAGACACTCCAATATGTTAGGAATGGTGACTGATAATGGCTTGAGCTGCTGTTTAGTGTACCACATGCAGAAGTTCTTCCACGTGACGTCATAAATCCTATTAGTCGAAGGAGTGTCTTGAGGCTTGGATCATCGAGATCACCCCGGACGAATAAGATTGCCTAGCTAAACTGTCCCGTTCAAGTGCCAGGTGGCCGACTGGAGCCACTGTGTGCCTGGATGTTGAAGATTCCCTTGACTGAGAGCCACTCAGTCCAGGGAAATCCTCCACGATGGCGAGAGAATTAGATCCACAAGGTCTGCAAACCACAGACGCCTTGGCCAATGAGGAGCAAGTAAAATTATCTCCACCTCTTCTTGAATCAGGTTGCGAATGGTTGCCAGCAACAACGGGAGGGAAGGCCTAGAGCAGCCCCCCCCCGGCCACTTGCACCGGAGGGCATCTGTTCCCTCTGCTCCCCTTGTCAGAAACCTGGAGAAGAATCTGGGAAGTTGGGCGTTCATTGGGGAGGCAAAGAGATCCAGATGTGGATGGCCAAACCTGTCTGAAATTTCCCTGAACAGTGATGGGTCCAGTCACCACTCAGAGTGGTCTACTGTGACCCTGCTCAGGGAATCTGCTTACCGATTTGCTTCCCCTGATATGTGTTCCGCCTTGGTGGAACCCAGAGTGGACTCTGCCCATAGACCCAGCTCTAAGGCCTCCTGCATGAGTGACCAGGACCGGGTTCCTCCATGTTTGTTGACGTGAGCCATGGCAGCCACATTGTCTGTCAGGTCCAGGACATGTTGTCCTGTCACTAGGGAGGAAAACCAACAAAGAGCTAAGTATATGGCTCTGAGTTCGAGCCAATTTATGTTGTGGAGTAGATCCGATCGGGACCACTGTCCCTGAACAAGGTGAGACTGAAGATGGGCACCCCAACCGAACAGACTTGTGTCTGTAATCAAGGTGAGCCTGAGAGGCTCCTTGAAAATGGTCCCCTGGACGTTACGGATGAAGCCCACCATAGAAGAGACAACAGAGTGTGATGAGGAACCCTGACCTTTCTGGTGGATGAACTGAGGTTCCGTTTCTGGAAGGGAAGGAGGAACCATTGAAGGCTTCTGGAGTGAAGTCTAGCCCACGGAACGGTCCCCATGCAAGAAACCATCTTTCCCAGGAGCTGAGACAGCTGGGCCAAAGGCACTGTTCTCTCTCTCCGAACCTGATGCACGAGCATTCGGATGCTGATCCGACACTCCCGTGAAAGATAAACCTTGCAAAAATCTGAATCTATAATCGCTCCTAGATGAAGGAGACGCTTTGTGTGGATCGTGTGGCTCTTTTTGAAGTTCTCAGAGAACCTGTGAACC